TGCGTTGGAAAAAGGATTTTTGGAGAAGCTTCACCTACAAAGGCAATTTGAGCTGGCTGTCCCCAGTGTCCTATTTGTGGCAGGCAGGGCTTCTCAACAGCCCTCAGTGAATGATAGGAGCATGGGTCAGAAAACCTCAGGAGGGGTTCAGAGCTTGGACTCGTGGTACCCTGAGGTCAGTGACCTGGGTTCCTCTTGGTTCCTGATCCTCTTGGCCGTGGGTCCTCTTGACCCACCACAGTTCCTGGGTCCTCGGCTGCCTTTCTCCGTCCTTACCCCCACACACAGTGATGGAGAGAGGAGCCTAGAAGGATACAGGGCACTTTGCCTCTGTATCAAGTGTCCAATATAACATTTTCTGTTGAGGATCTAGGTGGGAGTGCAAGGAAAGCCATTGGCTTGTGGAAATGCAGATGGCCTCCGCTCCTAGACGTCACATGCCCCTGCACCATTCGGGCCATTAGACCACAGACCTGGGCTAAATTTCACAGCGAGCTCTCACCTGCCTACGTCAGCCCTCGTCCAGTGGGTCTTGGCAGTGGCTTTTCAGAGCCCCTGTGTCCCGTGACTGTGGAAGAGAGGCACACTGTCTCCTAGATGGAGCACGGCAGCCGCTGCACGGCACACAGCCCTGTGGGCTCTGGCAGTGGCGGGACCTCTCGAAGCCGGGTGGCAGATGAGACATGCACAGCAGCCCAGGTGCTCTCCCTGGCTCACCTGTTGAACCTGATTATTTGGAAATTTATTTCTGCAGAGCCTTGGATTTCAGATTGGAAATATGTCCTATAGTCTAACTTCTGGTTCCTTTTTCAAGCCTCAGTTTGCCCATTTCTAGCTTAAGTTAATAGTGCTCTCATTCTGATGTATGATGCGGGAACAGGTTTGCTGTGGTGAGAAAGAAAGGGGTTCTTTAAAAATATGCTGGTTAGAGCCAGTGTTTCCAGCTGTTTACCTGTATAAATCAAAATCCAGTGTCTGTATAGTCACCATTTCAGTTCTATGAAACAATAAAATACAGGGTTTTTTTTTTTTTTTTTGGAGATAGAGTCTCACTCTTGTTGCCCAGGCTGGAGTACAATGGTGCAGTCTCAGCTCACTGCAGCCTCCACCTCTGGGGTTCAAGCAGTTCTCCTGCCTCAGCCTCCTGAGTAGCTGGGATTATAGGCGTGCACCACCATGCCCAGCTAATTTTTGTATTTTTAGTAGAGACAGGGTTTCACTGTGTTAACCAGACTGGTCTCAAACTCCTGACCTCAGGTGATCTGCCTGCCTTGGCCTCCCACAGTGCTGGGATTACAGGCATGAGCCACTGCGCCTGGCCTGCTTGTTTTTTGTTTTTTAACTAGCTGTATCCATTCTGATTAAAGTGATGTTTTTCCTTCCCCCTCCTTCCAATACTAATTCAACGGAAGACTTTTATTTGTTGTTTATTTTCAGAAATATTAGATACCAACTTATCTAATTTCACTATTGTCAGTTATCTGCTATTATTATGTGAGTGCCCTAATATTCATCCCTGATTCGGAACATGAAGGCTCTCTGCCCTGGTGAAATGTGTGTACCAAGAAATTGATAGGAAGAAAAGCATTATTTCTTATAAACCTGTTATCCTTCTCTATATTTTAATTTTACGTTAGAGAGGGGAAACGTCCGTGTTTAATTGGAACTATTCACCACTGTCATTTTTAGTCTGGATTGTTGGAAGTGATGAGCACTATACTGAAGTGGCCTTTGAGTAGGTGAAGGTTCCGGCCTCTGAGCCGTTTGTTAGAGGGGAAGAGTGGAGCACACGGACGTGCATCCAGAGAGGGGGCGCCCTCTTCTGAATTTCAGACAGTGACTTGTCTACTGACAGCACTTGTTCATTCCCTGCACACTCATTTACCTAATGCCTAGTATGGGTCTGGTATTGTCAGTCCCTGAAAATCCCGAGACTGAGGACGTAGTTCCCATCTTCTAGACCCACACAGTCTAATAAGGGAGACAGTGAACATTAACTTTAAAACCTGTGGTCTGTGCATTGTTAGTGACAAACTCATAGAAGCACCGAGGGCCAGAGGGTCTCACTCATTGTAGGGAGAAGCGGAAGGCTCACAACAGCCTTCCTGTAGGAGGTGGCATCGGAGCTGGACTTAGAGGACAGATTTGGAATCTGACTAGGGTTTTCATTCTGGTTAAAGATTAGTACATATAAAGTGCCAATCGCAGTGCCTGAAGCATGGTATGTTCTCTAAAACTGACAACCACCACTGCTGTCATCATCGTCACCATCATCATCATCATCTGCCAGACCTTATTCATAGTAAAATATATTGTGCTAGGAATTAATTGATTTAGTTGTGTATAAATATCACACAGAGAAGAAACTTTGGCAGTAGTTCTGATTATTTATTTGTGGACCAAACAAAACAGTTAATCCGAAAACCAAAATTAGCCCCTCCAAAAGTCACAAATTCCTGTAGCAAAAGATTCACAGAACCTGGTAGAAAAGGTACAGAATGCTTCCAGAGCAGTAATTTGTTGTCGTTATTTTTTAATGAATTAGTGAATATTTTAAACATGTCTCAGTTTTGACTTCTAATGTGACTATCAATAGACATAACTCATATAAACAATCTCTTTAGGGTCTTCAATGATTTTTTAGAATCTGAAGAGATTCTGAGACCAAAAAGTCTAAGAACCCTTGTTCTAGAGAACAAGATCTTCCTGGAACTCTGTGCTCCAGGTGACCCTTGAGCTGCAGCGAAGCAGGAGAGCTCAGGCTGCCTGGGCCATGTACAGGCTTTTTTTTTGACCAACTATTCATAACATTTGCTTCCTGTCTCTCCAGGCGAGTGGTTCTCATCCTTAGCTGCACATTGGAATCACTTGGGGTGATTAACAAAGATGCCAGTCCTCACCCCTAGACTGAGTGATGTGGTTGGTCTGGGATGTAGCTATAACCTCATGATTTTTTAAATCCCAAATGATTTGGATGTGAAGTTAAGGTTGAGAACCACTGTTCAAGCCAGTGAGAAGGTAGCCAGCTTGGTAACGGCAGAATAGGGCAGCAGCAACCTTTAGGCTACTCATTTATTTAACTGTCATTGCTACTAAAAGTCTCAGGGAAACTACATCAAGTCCTTGTTATCAAAGTTAGAATATTACTTTCCATAAAAAGGTGACAAATAAGAAATTTCAACAGCAGTTTAATCATTTTGCTATTTAGATTTTTTAAAAATAGTAGTTAGACATACTTTGTCTAAACAAGGATAGATTCTTAGCCACACTTCCTAGGTTCTCCCTTCATATGCCATCAATTAGACCTTTTTTTTTTTTGAGACAGGGTTTTACCCTTTTTGCCCAGGCTGGAGTGCAATGGCACGATCTCGGCTCACTGCAAGCTCCGCCTCCCAGGTTCAAGCGATTCTCCTGCCTCAGCCTCCCGAGTAGCTGAGATTACAAGCATGTGCTACCACAGCTGGCTAATTTTTGTGTTTTAATAGAGACAGGATTTCTCCATGTTGGTCAGGCTGGTCTCGAACTCCAAAACTCAGATGATCCACCCACCTTGGCCTCTCAAAGTGCTGGGAGTACAGGCATGAGCCACCGTGCCTGGACAATTAGACTCTTTTAACTCAGCCTCTGAATTCCGTATTGTGCAGCAGGACTTGCTATACCTTTCCAGAGGCTGCTCTCCTCTTGGTCATCCTTGTGGGCACTGTTGGCCCACTCTGATTTCCATCCACCAAGGCCCCACTGAAGGATTCAGGTGCATTTAGAGGCATCCATGTTACCATTATATTGGAGCAATCAAAACATAACATGGATGGCGCATCTGTTGCTGTGAATAATACTCTTTAAATTTATAGATGATGGGTGCGTTCCAAAGCGCAACTGAAATTATTTTTATGCTCACAATTTTGTATTATGAAGAATATAACTCCATTTATTTTGTAGTCAGCATTTATCTTTATAGATTATTACTATTTTAAACTTTATGATGATTTGGTAGTTACCATTCTCAGTGTTGGAATGTTTATCTCCATACTAAGCTTTCTGATGAAGTACAAATTAAGAATGATGCAGGTGAATAGAAATATTAACAGTCTCAAATTTGAAACAACTGAGAATCCTGCTATCGATTCTAAAACCACATCTCCGAGAGTGAATGTTAGAAAGAGGTGGGAAGCAAGCCTCTGTTTAAGGAGGTGGTCTCTGATCATCAGTACCTCCAAGAGGTCAACGTGAAGAGAAATGAGTTTTGCATTTTGACTTGCGAACTACACCTATCCCTTGACTAGTGAACATGCTCAGTCGACCCGTGTCCTTAGCCTTTCAGGGCAGCAGGTTTTACAGAGTAATCAGGCAGGTGCATATTCTGAGCCCCAGGAGTCTTTGCTACAAACCCATCCCATCCCATCCCCTGCTAGTCTAGCCTTAAGGATAGACATCTGCTTATACACAGGGCAAAAGTGTGCTTTTTTTCTGCAGTGTTTAAGTCATGCCTTAGAATATGGTTCTAAACTGAGGGTGTAGCCCACCTCTCCAAGGCTGGGAAGTTGCTTTGTTTGTCTTGAGAATGGCCAGTACATGTACTCCAAATGCTACCCCAGGAGGCAAGTGTATTCCTCCCCTGACCCTGATTCGGTTTCTAGGTTTAGGCCCTTACAGGGGCGCTTTGTAATGTCCCTTTGTAGCGCTTCATTTATGTGATTTTTAAACACTAGTATCGTCACAGCTGTGTATCTGGCCCCCTGTCTCCCAGCACTCACGCTGCTAGGCTGAGCTCCTGGAGGGGGCATGTGCTCTGTTTGTTGACAAAAAGATTAGCTAAAGCCTAAGGATGGAAACTAAGGCCCCAGGCCATGATTGCCCACATTTCTTTGTGGACAGTAAATCTTAGAAACATCCTGGGGGGAAGGGGTGTGTGTGGTCCACACTTGTCTGTGTGGGAAGGGGTTGATTGGTTGGGTCTGTTCTTTCGCTCCTGATAGAGTCTTCTCAAAAACCTCTCACAGGCTCCGTCCATGCCACATCAGTAGCAGCCTCAAGAGTGGAGCAGGCACTGTCGGAAGTGGCTTCGTCTCTGCAGAGCAGCGCCCCTAAGCAGGGCCCGCTACACCCCTGGATGACGCTGGCACAGATCTGGCTCCATGCAGGTACCACTCCGCCCCCTACCCACAACCTGCTGCTGTGCCAAAGCCTGGGCGCTTGCCTGTTTAGCCCACACCCCTCATCAGGAAAGCTCAAAGCTTCAGTCATGCACCGAAATGTTACTGCTTCTCTGCAGGATCCACGAGTGACTCTGTATGCCCTGATCCCTCTCCCCTGCCTCGGTGCCCTGGCACAGAGCAGGCATCTAAGAAAGTTTTCTGGATTTGACTCTAAGGATTCTTGGGGAGTTTGCCATGTGGGGTACCGGGTTTGTGCTGTAGGGACTGTCTTTGTGAGTGACCTGGAGTCATACCTGTACCAACTGGATAGATTTGAGTTAAAGTATTTAACTCAGCCTCAGTTTCCAATTCTGTGTGATGGGCTTAGGAATAACACCCATCTCCCAGGGTTGGTGAGTGCAATGCCTGGCACATCTTGGCAGTGAATTCTTGGGGTCCCTGCGAGAGGGCCAGGTGGTGGTAAGGACACAGATGTCTTATAAAGCCAGGGAAGGGGCCGTGTGTTTGGTGCCGCCATGTTCCTGTGCGCCTCTGCCCCTCTCTGATGGCTCTCTCCGTAATTTCATAGAGAGACAGCAGCAGCCTCTGACCTGGAGACTGGCCCAGAAGGGGGCCATGAGTGCCCCTTCCCCAGTTCCCAGGGCATTTTGCTGGCTCAGCGATGCTTCTGCACCACTAAAAAGCCCAAAAATAAATGCAGTGTCCAGGCTTTCTTCTTTTTTTTTTTTTGAGACGGAGTCTTGCTCTGTCACCCAGGCTGGAGTGCAGTGGTGCAATCTCGGCTCACTGCCACCTCCGCCTCCTGGGTTCAAGCAATTCTCCTGCCTCAGCCTCCCGAGTAGCTGGGATTACAGGCGCCGGCCACCACATCCAGCTAATTTTTGTGTTTTTAGTAGAGATGGGGTTTCACCATCTTGGCCAGGCTGTTCTCAAACTCCCGACCTCGGGTGATCCACCCACCTCGGCCTCCCAAAGGGTTGGGATTACAGGCGTGAGCCACTGCACCTGGCCTGTGCAGGCATTTTAATAATGAGAATCCCACTGCACTGCGCTTCCAAGAAATAATGGCTGTTTTTACTTACATATTTATGTTTCGACATAAAAGGTAATTCCACTCCTCAGGTTTCATCACTTCATCCGTACAGCCCTACCTGGGCCTTCTCAGGCTTGACTCTTACAGTGCCTGGTGAAAGCCCACATTTGGCTGAGAAGGGTGCTTATTATCCACCAATTGTCCTTCTGCTGACTCCTTTTTTGCCAAGGCTAATCGTGTGATATTCCACCCTGTTTGATACCACTGGCAGGCCTTCGCATTGAAAACGTGTTTGGATTTACCTGGCCTTGGCATGCCACAGAGCCCAGCTCAGCCAGCCTTTTCTGTGTTGGCATCTTCAATTGCGCCATAACGACTACCGTAAATGAACAATTTATATTCTAAGCAGAAGTACAAAAGAAGGGTGATTCCTGAATTCGCAGTTGTTCTTCTCTGCTGCAGACACCTGCGGCATTCGGCCTCGTGCTCAGAGAGGCCCACACATTCTGGCTCTGAGGGCCAACGAGTAGCAGTAACGCCTCCTCCACAGCTCCCTTATGCAAAAGCCCAGTCCCTGGCAGAGAAGTCTGATGCCTGTCCTAGTCAGTCACCCCCGTGAACAACGACTGCAAAAAACAGAAAGGGAAGGAGTATGGTTTAGTGTCCAGGCCAGGTAAACCTGAACTTGTGGGGCTGGTGTAGGGGCAGAGTTGCCTTTCAAATTGGTCTCAAAGTTGGGTTTCTGAAGTGCCGAGGTCTAAAACACCAGAAGGGCTGAAGGCCATTCCTCCAGGGTGGAACTAGCTCCCCTGACCTCAAAGGCGGTGCTTCTCTTGCTTGTTTCTTGGAAAACGTACTGACCTGAGAGTCAACATATTCCAGCTGAGCTCCACCTGGCATCTTGCTGCCGCCGACGCAGTTATCCAGAGACTTTCCCCCACTTTGCGTGGCCTGCCATGACTGTTGGGGAGGAAATTTTGTAGCTGATTATTAGAATACTGAAGAACTTGATGGCTAAGATTCAGCTTGGAGCTATCCTTTTATTTTATTTTTTGGTGGGGATGGAGTTTCACTCTTTTACCCAGGCTGGAGTGCAACGGCGCGATCTTGGCTTACTGCAACCTCTGCTGCCAGGTTCAAGTGATTCTTCTGTCTCAGCCTCCCAAATAGCTGGGATTACAGGCACCTGCCACCATGCTCTGCTGATTTTTGTATTTTTAGAAGAGATGGGGCTTTACCATGTTGGCCAGGCTGCTCTTGAACTCCTGACCTTGAGTGATCCACCTGCCTCAGCCTCCCAAAGTGCTGGGATTACAGGTGTGAGGCACCACGCCCAGCCTTCTTGGAGCTGTCCTTGAATTTTAATATAATCACACAAGATCCATTTCTCATTGCGTGGCCCATAGGACAGAGTCAAGTTCTCCTTCCTAGCGAATGGGTGTGGCTTTACTATTCTAGAAGGTGGTGGAATTGAACTATGGAAAGTGACTGTAGACCCTGTAGGGCCTGAGCAAAGTGTGCTGTATGCATACGGTGAGCATTATGTGTAGGACGAATGAATGCAGTCAATTATGATCTTTTTGGAATTTGTGCCATATTGACTATTTCAAAGCAATGACTTTGCTTGAGTCAAGGTTTGGAATCGTATCGTATATTCACATAGTCCTTCAAGAGGAAAATTGAGAAGACAGATAGTTTCCAGTGCACTGCCAGGTTTTACCTTATGTGATTTGAGCCTCACTGCTCTGAGAGACAAAATAAATGGGACTCAATTTTTTGGCAGTTCATGAAAACAAGGTAACCTCTGTTTCCTGTGTCCATCATCAGCTCCCACAATACTGCCAGAACCCATAAGTTTTGTAAGCTTTAGAAGAAATTAGTTAGATCAAGGTCTGATACCCAAAGCCATGGTGTCTGGGTGGCATTTGTGGGCCTGTTCTCTCCTGATGGTTTTTTTCTGGTGAACTGAGTACACTGGGAGCTCGTGATGGGAACCCACGGTGGAGGTGGACCCAGATTTGAGGCTTGCAGGAAAGGTCACTTGGAGATGACCTTGGATTTCCAGCAGAGAAATCTATCACAGCAGAGAGTCCCTAGGCCACTTGTCTGTCATTGTGCAAGGCAAGGAGATAGTGAATAGGATACCTGTGCCACCAGCTGCTCTGTAAGGGGACAGGTCCAGGAGATGAGGGATGCTTGCCCACAGCAGGTCCCCACTTTCTGTGTGATTGGTGCTCCCTTCCATAGGTCCATGGCAAACAATTGAACAGCCACAAAGTGTAAAGGCTCCCTCTTATCCGTGAGCCTCAGTCACCCCCACCACAGGCAACCACTGTCACCACTTCTGTGCATCTTCCAGAAATCTCACACGCTGTACTTTGTCCCCCACTGCCCTCTGAATGTGCTACCTGGTAGGTCAGTGCACATCAGCACCTGTAAGGTGACTTATACTTTGTCACGGCTACAGAGTATAAGTCGACTGTATGGTTAGACCGTCATTTGACCAATACTCTACTGGTTAACATTTAGATTTGAATCTTAAATTCAGCTGATAACATTTAGATTATTATGGCAATTTGTGCCAGACTGACTCTTTCAAAGAGTCAATATGTAGAACTGCTTGAGTCAAGATGTAGAATCATGTCATACATTCACATAGCCTTTTAAGAGGTAAATTTACAAGAAAACAGCTTCCACTGCACTGTCGGGTTTTACCTTATGTGGTTTGAGCTCCTCCGCTCTGAGAGATAAGTATCTCTAGTATTTTGCCATTACGGATAATGCTTCAATAAGTATCCCTATACGCAGTCTACCCTTTACATTCTCGGGTTCTGCATCCATGGATTTAACCAACCTTGGATTAAAAATATTTGAAAAAAATGTGTCTGTACTGAACACGTACAAACTTTGTCTTCTTGTCATTATTCCCTAAACAATACAGTATAAGCACTATTTAAATAATATTTACATTGTATTGGGTATTTTAAGTAATCTAGAGATGATTTAAAATACACAGGAGGATGTGCATAGGTTATATGCAAATCCTGCACCATTTCATATCAGGGACTCGAACATCATGGATTTTGGTATTCGAGGGAGGTCCCAGAACCAATTCCCCATGGATACCGAGGGCCGACTGTGTATTTTTTTTTTTTAATCTGTAAGATAAACTCTAAACAGTGGAACTGATGGGTGAAAGGGAGTGTACTCTTTAATTTTGATAAGTTTTGTCCATTGCCTTCCGCAGATTTGTACCAGTTTACATTCCAGTCAACAATGTACTCATGTCCACTTTCTCCCACCCTTGCCAACACAATGAATTCTCAGAATCCTTGATCTTTGCCAATCTGACAAGTAGAAAATGGTATTTCAATTTTCTGTCCATAGCTTTTGACCATTTATCTTCTTAGATACTGAGCTTTTCCTTTTTATTTCTAAGCATTTATTGTGTGTCAAAGAAATCTGCCTTGTCTCTGAAATAGGTGCTGTAAACATCTTCTTCCAAGGGTTGTTTGGGTTTTTTGGGT